TTCCCACAACATAATTTCATTGATTCTAACTCCCTACTCTCCTTGAGGTACTTTTATAAATAATTGAGAAAGAAATAACTTGTTAAATAATATAAAACCTAAGAAAAGAACAATATTATGAGTAAAAAAATCAGGGCCAATTCTCTATAACGAATACATGAATACACAAAAAAAAATGTCATGCCCCAAATAATCTTCTTCCAATACTCACAAAATTTTGATTGATAGAGGCCATTCACAATCAGTGGTTGAATGCTTAGCCAGTTCATCTGTGAGTATGTATATGCATTGAACCTTGCTAATCAAGTTGAGTTGAACAACGAGAGAAATCAAGTAGAAGCCGATGAAGTTTTCACTCATGTTCATATTACAATATGTCAAGAGCTTTAAACTTACTCCACCACAACACCTGCAATTCATACTCTAGCAATCTCACCCCCATATACAGTGAACCGGGTATTGTATTTCATTCCATGCGGATCGTTTCTCTTGAGCCATTTGATACTTATAGGTTCAGATAGAAGGTTTGTTTGCAATGTTTAGAGTAATACCTTGAAATGATCTCTCGTGAAAAATAAAAAGAAGGCAACAAGATCGAAATAGTAAAAATGATTAACGGGACACACATAGAGGAAAAAATAAAAACAAATGGAGGCTCCAAAACATCTATACTTATCTTATTAATTGGGGATCCATATTGTAGACCGGTTACCTATGGTACAAGAAGGTTACAACTATCACTAGTTGTTAGATGTGGAATTGGGTGGTTAGGATGTGTAATACTTTTACACAAAGTTCAAAATATATAAATAAAAAAAATTTAATCAATGAGGGTTATGAAAGCACACTCATCACATCTAAAGTTTTCATATTTGTGAGCTAAAAGTGATTATGACTATCTTATGCAAAAGGTAAATAGTATTATCGCATACTTATTCATTATTAACAATATTGTTGTACCTTATCTTATCTTAAACACTTGGATTCTAACAAATTGTTCTTTTCTTTTTGGTTAATTTCTTCCACAAAATGCTAATAACATGAGACAAAAACTTCTTTGGCAAGGAACTGGAGAGTCTAACTTTGGTTCGCCGGTCCAAAATCAAGAGAATTAAATCTCTTCGAAGTTTGAACTATGCTTATATTGAATATAAAAAGCAATGATAGTAGCCCTTTTTGGTTTTTTTATTTTGTGATTTTCTTGGATGTTTGGGTCCAAGAGTGAGCTATAGACTTTCTTCTTTTCTATTACAACCAGTGTTTAAAAAAATGCCTAGTCGAAGTCCGGTTCGACTCGGGAATCGTCATGGACGGATCGAATCGGCAAAAAAAACGGGAATCGTTCGGTTCTAGAGAGAACCGGATGATTCTGTACAGTGACTCGCCGATTCATTGTACGGAATCAGCGAATCCGTACAATGAATCGGCGAGTCCCGTACGGAATTTTTTTTTTCTTTTTTTTGTTTTGTAATCCATGATAGATTTTTTTGTAATACTTGATCGATTTTTTTGTAATCCTTGATCGAATTTTTTTTTTTTTGTAATCCATGATTGAATTTTTTTGTTTTTTTTTTTTTTTGTAACCCATGATAGATTTTTTGTAATCCATGATCGAATTTTTTGTAATCCATGATCGAAATGTTTGTTTTTTTTTCTTGTAATCCATGATCGAATTTTTTTTTTTTGTAACCCATGATAGAATTTTTGTAATCCATGATCGAATGTTTTGTAATACATGATCGAAATGTTTGTTTTTTTTTGTAATCCAAGATTGAAATGTTTGTTTTTTTTTGTAATCCATGAGCGAATTTTTTGTTTTTTTTTTTTTGTTAACCCTATGATAGAG